CCGCAGATGTCTTTAAGGATAGTGATCCAATTTTAGCGACTAAATTGACTAATATTTCGGCGAGACTCTAATTTAGGGACGAGCCAATCAGAAGTGTTTGAGCCATTCCAAGGTCACGGAGTTAAGTTTAACGCATGATGCTGACATACGATCGGTTTACGGCGGATTTTAGAGATGAGGTCATTATTGAAAGGCTACAAGAGATGGGACTACTACGAAGTTCTTGTATGTGTGACTGCGGTTCTGAAATGACTGCAATGAAGACTGAAGACCACCACGGCGAGATTATGTTCCGTTGTCCTTCATGTTGTAGGAAAAAGTCCGCTAGAACAGGGACTTTCTTTGCTCGATTGCGACTGAGATTGAGACAAATCATGATAATAGTTGCTAATTGGGTTATAAAGACACAAGTGACACTGAATAAGAACTTTCGTCTAGATTTGAACGAATAGTTTCACAATATTTGGGCGCCGTGTTAATGTGAGACATTAAAGAGAAAAAAATGTGTTTGTAAAATCTCAGCGAATGAATTTTAAGTAAATCCAACGTTTCGCCTGGCAATCTGGTCCAAGCTTTTTCAAGGAAAATTATAATCAAACAACAAAATTATCGAATATAAATAGGTACATGATTCTCTGGTTTACTATATACTGAATAAAACATCCAATCAACGTGCACCCTGTTTGAAGTGGGTATTTACAAAAGTGTGTAAGAGATATGTGTTGTGAAAAACGAAAAGTGTTAAGATAACAGATTGTGTGTTTACGTAAGTGATGTGTGAAGAAATTTCATTCAAATATATGTTGTCTTCGGTATGTGTATATTAAGAAAACATATCATTTTATATATGATATGAATCAAAATGTCACAGCATGCATTAAATGACGATAAATAAACAAGATAACAGACTGAATTCAAAGAGGAATGTATTTGTAATCGAAAGTTTGTGTTATTTTTTAATGTTCCCGTCAATTGTTTAACATATTCAGATACAATAACTGAGTTGAAACCGTTAAATGTATTATCTATTGATTAGTTAATAAGATATAGATAGATAGAATGTAATAAGGAGTTCAAGTTTACTTATTAATTATTAGTTGCCATGGGACAGCTAATTGTATTCCATCTCTCCTATTAATACTGTTTGAATTAGCCCATATATGTAGGGCTTCGGCTGTTAGTCGTTCTTTGTAAGAGTTAAAGCCTTTTTGAATGATTCGTGCGCCATTAAAATCAACTATATGACCCGATTCATTCGAATGTAATGCTATTGCTGATTTTTTCTCAAGTCTTTTCACATCATCTGAGGATTTAGGAATGTGCTTTAAGCATAGTTTGTGTTCCTTCAGCCTCACATTCAATTGCCTTGATGTTTAACCTACATACGTTGCCTTACAATCATTACATTTGATTTCATAAACACAATTCTGTTGTTCATCCTTGAGTATTAGATCTTTGATTCGTACTAGTTTTGATCTCAGAGTATTGTTTGTTCGAAAGAATACTCTTATATTTTGAAGAGTTAGAATCCTTCTGATCTCTTCTGAAATACCTTTACGATATGGGATCACCACCGTGTTAATCCATTCTTTTTTCTTAGCTCGTTTTTTAATGATATCATTTTGTTCTTCATTCTTAATTATTCTTCTAATAAAACCCTTCGGATAATTATTCATCATTAGAGTGGATACAATTAAATTCATTTCCATTTTTACATCATTTGGTTCAGTGACAAATACATTCCTCTTTGAATTCAGTCTGTTATCTTGTTTATTTATCGTCATTTAATGCATGCTGTGACATTTTGATTCATATCATATATAAAATGATATGTTTTCTTAATATACACATACCGAAGACAACATATATTTGAATGAAATTTCTTCACACATCACTTACGTAAACACACAATCTGTTATCTTAACACTTTTCGTTTTTCACAACACATATCTCTTACACACTTTTGTAAATACCCACTTCAAACAGGGTGCACGTTGATTGGATGTTTTATTCAGTATATAGTAAACCAGAGAATCATGTACCTATTTATATTCGATAATTTTGTTGTTTGATTATAATTTTCCTTGAAAAAGCTTGGACCAGATTGCCAGGCGAAACGTTGGATTTACTTAAAATTCATTCGCTGAGATTTTACAAACACATTTTTTTTCTCTTTAACAAGTGATACTGGCTGCGGCTTTCGCAGATATTACCGAAACCTCAGCAGTCCAGTGGTATGAATACTGCCGTGATATATGCGCAGTTAAAATGACTAGCATACACCAATTATTTGGCGGAGTAGGACTTATCGTAGAGATAGATGAAACGGTCAAGCAAGAACAATAATACCAATCATACAGGAATATGTGCTGCCTGGTACCACGATATATACGGATGACTGGAGAGCATATAGATGTCTTCATCGACTTGGATACGACCACCACGTAGTAGTCCACAAACGTAATTTCGTTGACCCAACAACCGGTGTTCATACGAACAACATTGAAGCCATGTGGTTACGATTAAAGGAATTTTTAAGACCATATCACGGCTCCAGAGGTCGACTATTATGAAGCCATATGGATGAATTTTTATACCACATGCAATATGATTTTAAAACATCTGAACCTTTATCAAATCTTAACAAGTTTTTAAATCATATAAAAGAAGTATATCCACTGTAAATCCAACAATGGTGGTCTTTCTTGACTTAAAAGTAGCATTTGACTCTGTAGAACGAGAGGTTTTGTGGCAGCGTCTCTCATTGAAAGGCGTACCTCAGAAGTACATAAATCTTGTGAAGGCTCTTTATTCTGTAGCGGTAAATGAATAGCTCTTTTCAATTAGTTTTTCATCATGGCTCTACACTAATATATATGATTTACAATAATGATATAATACTCAAAATTCTGCTCCTTCTCTTTTTCATATATTATTCAACGTAGCAACTTCTTTATTCAATAATTACTTTAAATATTAATAATCATCTTGCTTCCAAACTAATCGATGTTAATTTAAATGTCATTATGTAATTATTACGTAACTTATTCACTCAATGAGTATTATATCATTATTGTAAATCATATATATTGGTGTAGAGCCATGATGGAAAAATAATTGAAAAGAAATTTCTTCGCTGAATTCGTTCCTTCTATATTTACCAAATGGGAAGTTTCATTATAAATAGCTCTGTAATTTTTCGACATTGGATGCTGAACACATTAGTTTTAATCGACTCATCTAGTTGAAAACGCTCGGTCATTCATCCGCACCAGATCACGTGTGGGAACACCGTGCTCAACATCTAATACAATCGCCAGCCAGATTAGATCAGACGTTCCAAGATATATTGATAGCCTATCAATATGTCATCGAAAATCCTCGCTTCTGTCTTTTGATTACACTTGGTGGGTACGCTTCATATTAGGTGTTACTGGTTAAAGCGTTTTCAAACTCCGAATACCTGTGTCATCTTCAACTCGAACACTACTAGTCGAGTGAGAGCTTATGTCGATTTTACAACCTCAATTGTTGTCCGGTAGGCTATCGACTATCTCCACTTTTGTTCAACTTCAATGCTCTCGTCGACTGAAACTTTAGGAATTGATCTCCTACCAGGGAGTACACTTACCAACTTAAAATACACTGATGACATAGTCCTGTTTGGTGAAGACACTGATAAAATGCAGAGTCTTTTGGTAGCACTGAGCAACGATGCCAGAATGTTTGGGATGCGTTTCTCTCCCTCTAAGTGCAAATTGTTGCTTCAGGACTGGCCTGCGTCAACACCTGAACTAAGGATAGGGAGTGAAGTGGTCGAACGCGTCAACAGCTTCACTTGTATTATCTTGGAGTCCGATCAGACCTAATGGATTGACGTTTGACGAAATCTCTGCACGAATCCAAAATGCTGGTGTAGCTTTTGCCAACATATCCGTCTATCAGTGAAAAGACGAGTACAGTGCGTGACAGTTCGAACTGTTCTACTTTACGGCTGCGAATCGTGGCCATTAAGAGTAAAAGATACTCGTAAGCTACTAGTATTTGATCACAGATGTCTCAGAAATATTGCTTGCATCTGCTTGGGTCATCGGGTACGTAATAGTGAGGCTAGACTCAAGGTATTAAGAAATGATGCTAAATCAGTGGACGAGGTTGTGAATCTTCATCAACTGAGATGGTTGGGTTAGGTATTGCACATACCTAACAACCGATTACCGCGACGCATATTGCTGATTAGTGTTGGAGACGGTTGAAAGGAAGTTAGGAGCAGGCAAACCAAAATGTGGAATCAGTCTATAAAGTAATGCATGGTAAATGATAATAAAAGCTATCTTGTCTCTGAATTGCTTGCTACATGAATATCCAAACAGATTGAAACTAATCCCAGGCCGTTAGACGTAGTATTTGGAGCTTTGACTGATTAATAATTCTTCTAATATTTGATATCATAAATAATAAGATTCTAGCTACAAAATAATAACTGTTAACTTAAGGGAACCTTTTCGGTCAATAAACGTACAAGTTCAAGCTTTCCCAAGTAAAAACCCTTTTATGACGGCAGTTATTGTGAAGTGACTGTTACGATCTATAATGCGAAACCTTTGTCCCATGCAGTATATTTCGATGGATTGTTAGGCTTACGTTATGCATTTGTTTTAGTTAGAATGTGCAAATGCCAAGTTGTCCGCATATTACACCGCCCATGCATTGATATGCGAAGTGAGCTCATCTCTTCCCGTAACAACTGAACGACTTGATGAGCAACATTAGAATTCTTAAAATGCAGATAGTATATGTACATCCGTCTGTTTAATAATTGTAAAGCTGTTATTTACCTTACGATTAATATAGATCCCCCATTTGTTAGCAGACAAGACTCGAGTTCGTGTCTAATTCTAATGTATTGGTCACTCAATGACTAGCAATGGCCTTAAGCACATTTTACTTCCCTGGATGGATATACTTTTTAAAAAGATTTTATTGGTAGTTTATTACTAGGTCATTCAAAACGACTAGCTTTTGGATGGGATTTATTCAATTAAAAGGAATAGCGAATTGAATATGATAGAGCAAAGAACCTCACTGTTATCACTAACATCTTATGTTGTTCTAAATTTTTAAGGAAATCAAACCATTCGAAACATGAATATTTTAGGGACATCAGTTTTTTACTTATTAGGGTCCCACCATTTACTCCGAGCTGACATATATTGAGATGTTGACATAATAGTGAGTTAACAGAGCATATTCAATCAAGCTACAACAAATATTATCAGTCAGAAATAAACCAGTTTTTTGCTTACAACATAAAGTACATGAAGAAGCGTCGGAAATGAAAAAAAAAAGCGAAAATGACCAAACTAATAATGACTAGCTAACATCAACAATATTTAATTACAGGGAAAATATCGTGAACGTTTGGCTTCATAAAATAAAAAAAATCAACTTTGTTTAATCGAAAGATATCAACTGTGCCTCTGCAGCACCCGACTCGGTATAATTGTTAGGTGCATCACTTGGATGGGTCACAACCTGCGTGTACCTGGGTACATTGTTTTCTTCCATTACAAGTTGGCTAGATGGATAAGTTTGATTTCCAGGGTAACCTTTTGAATCATCCTGTCCTGTATAAGTCGGCAAAGATGCTTGTATACCTAGGCAAAAAATGAAGAGATTTCAATTAGATGAAGCTTAGTTGGGTTAAGTATAACCAACCTTTCTCTTTCCCCTATTATTATTATTTCACCACCATACACTAATTTGTGGTCGTTATTGTTCTTTTTTTACACGCACCTTACATTCTTTACCTCTTCCCATTCTCATTATTATTGTGTGGAGCATATGTATCTCATGCCCTCTTGTACCAACATTTATACGTTCAAATAAATAAACTTAACTGACTGAAACTCCTTGATGAACAACTTGGTTGCAAGTGAAGCAATCAGAAATTGTCCTTGTATCCCAGATAAAGGTTTGTTGAGCCCTATTAGTATCTCGGAGGAAAAACGTGATCATAACTATTTATTATGGATTGAATAAAGTTTAATTACCATTTCTAATAAATATCATTATGCAGTACCCTAGAAATCAGAAGCACGCGTCAGAGCAAAGCCTCGTACGATTGAAATACATTAGTCGCAAAATGGACTCTGGTGACCTTACATTCTGAAGTGACTATAGAATCGTCACGATATCTGTTGTCCATATATGCATAACATGCGACTGCATGCATAAATTATAAAGTGATACGGGAGCAACGGAGCTAAAATACAATAAATTAACTAAACATCCGAACATATTATTAACGAGACGTAGTCTGTACTATTTAATATATCAATTTTAGGTGAGGAAATATAAATATAAAAGATATTAAAATTAAAGAGAGGTATATCAATTGTCACAATATATTTATGAACAGAAATGTAGAAGGTACGTACTTTGCATCGAAAATGAGCCAGGTGGAACTGGATTTTGGTTTCCTTGAGAGAACGAAGGATGTGTTTGGATATTATGACCAACTGGATCGGGAACATATGAATGAAATTGTGGTGTATATGACATATTGTAACTAGGTCTACTAGCACCACTTTGAGTGGGGACAAGTGAATTCGGATCTGGAAATTGTGTGGCATAAACCCTATTGTCTCTTGGTAGGTAACCGTTTGGAACAGGTGGAAATGATGCGTAATTAATTCCAGATATATAAGGTAAAGTATAATTGCTTGGGTAACCTTCTCCAGGTGCAACAGTTTGTACACTAGGAAATGATTCGACGCTGTACGGCAAGGACTGTTGTGGCATTCCGTATTCTTGTTGGTACTGCATATTTTGTTTTAGTGTCATACGTAATTTGTACTCCAAAGTGTCCTATGTGAAAATTTTAATATTCGACAGGCTTTAATCAAAAGATCATGAAAAGAATAAGATGCAGTTTAAAGCAAGTGGAGACATCGCTACGACAAAAAGCAGGCTGCTAACAATATCGTGAGCCGGAGTAAAAAGCATATAAGAATGTGTAAAATAAGTTTGAGTTATTAAAGTAAATACGAAAAAATCAATAATAATCAGTCACTTTTCAATGTACAAGAGCAAAGTATTTAAGATACCAGGAGTTAAAAACGCTACTTACAAACCCGTGCAGTACAGAATAGGCACGTAGCCACTGATGCGATATATATATATATATATATATATATATATATATATATATATATATATATATTCCTTAGGTCTCGTTGGTAAAGAACGGTTATGAATACTAACTAAACTTTCTGGTAATTGAGCAGATCGTTTGTTGAGTACCAGAAAAGATCTCGTTATATAAGTAGTGGTTATAAGGTTCGTATATTACGGAATATAATGATACCGTAGAAGTGCAAAATCACACCGGTCTGCTTCGAGCTGGTGTAAATCAGAAGTACATTCTTTCAGGATTTTACAAAATTTTAAAATTGATTTTCTTAAAGATTTATAAAAAAACATCCTGATAGCAGTCTATTCTAATCGATATTAAAGGTACAACGCTAAATTGGAAGCACATCCAATGTAAATCAGAGAATAGGTAGATAAAGTAAACACCATTTAATGTTTATTACTAGATGTTACAATTTCCAATAAGCTGAACAAGTTTAAGAGTTGAAAGATAAACAGTGTTTATTTTTTAGAGGCTGTCGCCGAAATTCTAAACCGATGAAGTAAGGTGTGGATATGGTTGATGCAAGTCAGTATTATTATTAGCAGTTAGTAATGGCGCAACAACTAATATTGTGAATCTCGCGACGTGAAAATGTTATATGGTTCACACAGATTACTACTGATTGCAAAAACATGTATAATTCTATACATACTGTGATGTTACTGGTTTTACTGTCTTTGCTCAAGGAAAAAGCTCGTTTTTTCCGCTTTTTACTCGTGTGAAGCTATTATCGTTGGAGTACCATGTATTAGCCATTCGATCTATTTAGTCGCACCAGATATACTGTCGTATTACAATAATTTCTCGTTTCTTTGTATTGGACCCCGATCAAGCTACAAAAATCATAACAATGCAGCCAGTTCATTTAATAGGTAAGTACTTATTATTATTATTATTATTTTAACACATAAATATCGGTACAAGGAGGCACCAAATACATATGCGCCACACAAATCTCAATTGATATGTGTGAGGGCTGTGATACTGCACGGGTGCCCAAATCGAAGCAGGTGGTTTTCTTAGGGGGCCACACCCCGAGCCTTCGATCTGAATGTCTGACCCACAAGGCAGTGGAGCATCGTGAGGAGATGCAGTCCCACGGTAGCCGGTGACCAACGATTGGTTCATACGCCATTTGTTCCCGCAGGATACTGGAGCCCATGTGCACCATTGGTTTGGAATCCGATTAAAGCGCCGGACATTCACTCTTCGTCCTCTCATTTTCGTAAACAACACCCGTGGTGCGAAAAGGCAGTGAGTAGGGCTTCCCTGGCAGGGGCTGTATACGCGTGGCCATGTGAGAGCATTTAGAGAGGGAGAGCGGACTCTCCCCACTCTCGGCCGTACCAGGGCATCGGGGTCAGGTAAGTACTTATGTGTGTAAATTTCTGAAGATCGAAATTCTGACTAGTATATATCTGTGTATGTCTAAAAGCTTTTTTCTGGTATTTGTTACTAAGCAAAACTGATTAAGAAATGAGTCATTGGTGCGACGGTATTTCGGTAAATTTATTGTTAATTGTCATATACTGAGTTGTAACAACGACTTTAGCTATAACCTATGAGTTGATATTTCTGAGGTTGACTGGATGTTGTTAGACAAGACCAACAAAAAGGAGAGCTCACTTCACAGAACTATAATCTTAAGAAAGCATGATATTACTGTCTTACTATTTGATATGATATATGTTAGTTATTTAAAAAATGTTAACCTTTCATAGTCAGATTAATTCCTGGGAAAAACATATTGGTAATTGTACAATCACACGATATGTGAACATGTAAAACCTACTCTTTTCTGTTGTCGCATAGCTTCCAATTTCTGCATTATCTGTAACTGACGCATACGAGCCGCTTCTTGCTCTTCTATTTGTTTGCGAACAGCATGATCATGTCTTAATGCATCCAAAGCCTCACGAGCTTCACGAATCTGGTTAAGTTTGTCTTGCATCTTCTCAAAATAGGCTAAAAATAAAAGCTGTTGTGTTTATAAAAAAATTATTTTTGTATAAAGTAAATTTTGTATGATAGAGGATTGACTGGATGATCCAGAATGACATTTTATTACCTTCAGTATGTTATCAAAGAAATTTAAAGGAAACTAGTATGCTTTTTGTCGGAGCTCATTTGTTTAAATGACATGTGTCACTACAGGAAGTGGATTAGGTAAGTTGATTGTTTCATTTATCTTCGAACTCTCGCTAATCCCAATGAATTACTAGGTAACACAAGTGAAATAGGCTTTTAGTGATTTTGTTTAGATTCTGGTGACTTTTGTCACCGGTGTAAGTCCCATCCATTTCGAAGTGTTGAGTATACTACGTATCATTTCAAAGATAGGTAACATGGTTTCGAACGTAGAAAATATACGCAAACTACAAGTACTTGATAACAGACTTCTTTGGAGTATTGTTTACTTATGGTAGATCTCTGAGTAATGTTGAGCCTCCCTACATCTTTAGTTCTATTAATGCATTTCAACTAAAACTACTATATTCACTTCTTGCTGTCATTAATATTATATTTGTCCCGACTGTCGTTAATAATCTGTGGTGGTCAGAAATGTAGTGACATCGGTCTATAACTACATCCATCTGATCCTAAAATGCTTTATGTGATTGGTAATATATTCGCCAATTATTATGTGCCCTCTAATGCCCTGGTACAGCCGAGGGTGAGGAGAGTCCGCTTTATCTTTCGAACTGTTCTCATATAGCCATTTCCAGGGAAGTCCTATTCATTGCCTCCTCGCGGCAGTGTTGTTTACGACATCGAGATGACGAGAAGAAAATGTCCGTTGCTAAAACCAAGTTGCTAGGTACAGATGATTAACTTAGGGAAGTTGGGAAACCCTGATTCCAAACCAATAGTGTATATGGGCTCCAGGATACTGAGGGAACAAATGAAGTATGAACCTATCCTCCTGACGTTGCTTCACTATCTTGTCGATTAAACCTCTGGGTTTAAAATTCGGGGAGTGGCACTATGAGAAGACCACCTTCTTCATTTTGGGAACCAGGACAGTATCCCAGTCTATACATAAATTCAATTATTTGTGTGGGGTATATATATTTTGGTTACCTTTTGTACCAATCTTTGTGTTAAAATAATAAATAATACTAATTACGTAGTTATTTGTAAACTAATTCCGGTTAAAAATATAGTATCTATTGAGATCGGTTACCAAACACAAATGAAAAGTTTGAACATATTAAAACATTCACCTCGGCGTTCCTCCATGTAGTGTTTGTACTCCATTAATTGTGGATGCATTTTATTTAGTGTCAAAAATAATGTTTGGACTGTTGTGTCACTTGAAATATTACGTCCTCTTTGACTATTGCTCTGCAATCGATTTACGAAAAATTCGATACTACCACGTAAAGCATCAAGGAACTCTTCTTGTTTGGGATTAGTTAGATCTGGGATTTCCGATGTGTTGAGGTCTGTCTTACCGTTAGGATTAGCTGAATTCTGAAACAGAACGTTTGAATCAGTTAATTATCCTTCAATTAACTGCAGTAAAATATAATAGTCAACAAGTGTATATCATGGCATAAGACCGATCCTTGAAAATTCAGTCGATGAAACTGTTATTCCTGAAAGCATGTCTATGACAAGGCTTAGTAAAAATGGTAAGAGAGGATAATTCCGATGACAATTCACCTTAAGCTCTGACTCGACCACTGGTGTTTGAACAAGGAGTTTGTAAAAGGTTGATGTACTTCGTTAGTACGTCCTTCAATGACAGAGACTGTCATAGACCCTTAAGATCAATGGAGTCCAACGCCACCTTTAGGTCGAGAAATACAACTTTACTCGGACGTCGAAAAGTATATCAAGGTTGGCTTAAGGCCAATTAACTGTTCTCTAAAGCATTCTTACTAAAGGACCGATTTCCTGGACTGAGGGTGAATAATAGCCCTGTCTTTTTCCGAGACAGTCTCACTAACAGCTGGGTTTTTAATACTCGTTTCCTTGATAAGTCTGAATGGTTGTATACTGTTATCTATTACCTCTCCCATTGCTGTCCCTTTTGCTTTCGCCGTCCAACACTACTCACGTTCATTGAGTATGATTTCTACGAGTCTGTTTTTAAGCTTCCGACTACCTATCTGTTTAATAGACGCTACAGAAATCCACTTATTTTTTAAGCTTTAGATTTAAATTGCCGGTAGATAGTACTGTTTAGATATCATATCAAGTTACCTCGGTGTGGATATAACTAACTTCGCTAGTTGTCCCTGAAGTATATTTGAATTTTTTTATCAATAAGTTGAACGTTCCTACATCTAGTAAAATGCAGATCAATACATGCTCATACTGATTCCACACATGTGCTTTAGAATGAGTGCCAGTCTTCTATCGAACCTCTTCAACAATGGTTAGTGACAATGTGATTTATTTGAGCCCATGGTTGATTCGACTGTGGATGTTATCTCGTCGGACGACGTTTGTTCTTATGGTGCTTGTTAGAAATAGACAGTTATCTGAGCGTAGTTGCAGAAAACTGTTGTCATTATCTGTTTGCTGAGGCGCGACACAGTAAGATTTACATAAGCACCTCTCAGTTTTGTTTAGTCTACCTACTTAAGTATTAAAATCACTTGTCGCTAACACTACACATCATTCTTTAGTTTTTTAAAAGAGAGTGTAAAGCTTTTTATAAAAGTCATCTTTAATTTCATCCGAACTACAACCGGTAGGTATGTGGGCGGAGACGATGAAGAGGTTACGGCTTGTATTCCTATCTTCTCGATTTTTTACTGTCTCTTTTAGTCGGACAGGGCACAAACAACTGTCTATTTGAATTCAAACTAACAGAACCCGTTCTGCTTTTGAATTTAGTGCTATACCTACAAAAGCGAGGTGATGGGCAATAGCAGCGGGGTCTCCAGGTACATGGGGAGTAAATCGAGTTGGTTCTTGACATTGACTAGGTGATATAAAATGAACGACCGTACTTGGACTCTGTATGAGCGTCTTCGAGAAAACATATATTGATAGCGTGGGATTCTGGATCCTAAGCTAAGGAAACCAGTTGTCCTATCTGACACAAGGTTAGAACATTCAAAGCTCCAACATGTAGTATAGAGCGCGGTTTCAAGAGACTAAGAATGGCATTGAATAGACTTGAAGAGTTAGTATTGGTGGTTCATGATGATAAAGATACGTAATGAGGGTTATTTGTGGGAGAGGAAAATATTAAGAGGTAAGAGAGAGATTTGACCTTGAACAAGATGATTCTGGGTGCTGTAACAGGTTTGAGAGTAGTTTCCACTTCTTGATTTTTCACACCATAGATCGTAGTATATCTAGTAGTATGTAAAGCTACGAACTAACTTTAGTGTCGCTTAAACGGTGAGCAAGACTTGTATTTCCTTTTGTATGTTTATGAAGTTAATGAACTGACTACATTTTTTGTTAAATTAATTTTCTGAAAATGAACTTACTATTTCACTGGATCGACTTTTCCCTGGTACATTAAAATCACTATTCACTCCGGACTTGAGAGTGTTAATAGAAATCATACCATGATCTGATGGTGTACTGGAAGCATATATAGGAGCGCTAGGCTGAGTAGCAGACTGTTGAAGCATGAGATGTTCTTGGGAATTTTCTTGATATATGCCATCCTGAGAAGATGATGGATTAGCTCTCTGATAATGTTTAGATAAATATTGCGCTAACTCGGGATCCATTTCACTTGTATCGAGAACTGGGAGAAGGTGGGCGACTGTTGGCGATGCTGATGATGGTGAAGGTTTATTTTCATTGATAGTAGACTTTATTTGATTCTTTATTACAAATGATATAGAAAAATTTAATATTGACAAAATAGAATTTTCGTTCTTAATATACATAATTCAGTATGGCAATTTAAACGGATCCTAACATACCACATTTTTCACTGAACCCTTGTAAATGGACACGATCTTGAATGAGATTAGAAAAATTTGTCGAAATTGGTTGGATACTTTCACACGAGACGTAATTAGTTATATATTTGAAGTGATAGAAGCTCTATCATTTTAAATCAGAGGATCCAGACATTGACGAACTTTTTTCTAACACTTATATTGCATGCTCATGAACAGTATTTTTGCAAGAACCAATCTCCAAGCGCAACTGTTCTAGCTGGTCAAGATGTTGTTGAGAGTTGTACATTAAATCATAAACCTGATACTATACATGTCTAACAAATTTAATCCGTACAATAAGTTAATTTTCACTAAATATTTCAATCGCATCGTTACAACAGTCCAATCGTTTTAAAATATACAAATTATATTATCAGAATGGAAATATTTCAGACTAACGACACTACTTATATAACTTTCATTTCATATTCGCTCGATGAAATCCCAGAGTCATGACGGAGATTATCATTAATGTGATCGTCAACGTTATTTATGACTTGAAACCAGGTCTATAGATCACACATCATTACGATATATAATCAGCCATAAAGTTACTGAGCTTTTAAAAACTTCCTAATTCTAATAATTATCAGGCGAAATAATCAGACGGAACAAACACATAAAAATTTGCTTCTTAAAAATAAGTTAATTTGGCATAAAACAAATGATTACGTCGTAGTCAAAGAATAAATATTATAGTACTCATTGAACCAAGGTTAGGATTGTAAAAACAACTTAATGAAGTGAACCGTTTTAACTACCACATATAATCGCGGAAAGAAATGAAATGCTTATAACTGATTTCATTTCACCCGGATTACTCATTAAATACCAAATATAGTGAGGAAAAAAATAAAGCAAAATATAATATACGGACTTACATTCCTCTGATTCGACTCTGCTTCGCTAGCACTTAAGGCTAAAGCCAATTCTAGATCCTCGTTTTCTTGCTGTTCCAGTTGTCGCTCTTTTTCACGTCGAAGCTGGGAGTTGGGACAAAGTTACATTCTATAAATCACTGAGCAATGAATACAGCTTGTTTTGAAGTAAAGTAGTTTAGAAAAAATGGCAACAAATAGTAACTGGTACAAACCTGAGGACAAACAAAAATTAGATGCTCGTATAAGAGTAAAGGCTACTACTCAATCCAATGTTGTATAGACAATTAAAAATATTGAAATGGGACATAAAAGTACACGGATAAACGTGTAGTTGACATATAAGTCAATGATCTTTCTAATTAGTATGATTGTGGCATGATTCACTACCCGTAATGGTTTAGTCTAAGCAATAATAACTAAGTTTTTGAAAATGTCATTTATTCAGCCGATCCTGACTGCATATATAAAGCTATTTGTGTGGAATCTTAAAAAATATATCACTGATGTCTTTTTGCTACACTCAGTTTACTACGTTTAGTAAAGTTACTGATTATTATCATGTAGAATATTATTTATTACAACGAGCATGATGGCATCTCCACAGGACTTATGTTCAAGTGGATGTGTCAAAGACAAAAAAATACGGTTAACTCAAGTTCATACAGAACCAAAACAACTATTAGCGTATTTCAGTAGAGAAATTCGTATTTGGTAGCTCTGGAATAAGGTCAATCCCTAGAAAAGACAAGTCACTAAAACAACGGTTACATGAGGTTAAATTATTACTTACACCAATATTTTGTATTAATGTTCTGAAAACAGTGTGGAACTTTTGCCTAGAATTTCAGTTATGACTATCAGTGTATGTTGTATTGTGATGTGGGTTACTTATATTCACACAAGTAGTATATGACGGTGGTCAGGCATAGAATGTATTTCAGTAGAAGGTCGATGAGGAAAGAACGGGAACAAAACGCAATTGATATGAAAACGCATGAACAATGAAATCGGACACAATGGATTAATGTTTGCAACAGGAACAGTCAAGTTTGATATGATGAACTGATATTTTGCAAATTAACGATTTAATATATGGTTCTCAGATTTCACTGAGATGCTCTGTAATTATGTGTCTAAATACATTCAATTGTCCCCACTGGTGTTCTTGTTCACTACAGTATTACCTGTTGAAGTGAATAACATTTATTCAGAAGCTCAATTTACTGAAACCAAGGATATTATTCGTGAGTTAAAGTTAGGAAATTATACAGGCGAAAATATGTTCAAAAGCGAAGTAATGGAGAAAAAAAGTCGATTATAATTAGAAGGAATCATGGCACTGATGACAAAAAAGTAACTAATCCTTTTCGATAGAAAACTTAGCACAACATGAGATCCGAAAATATCTCAAGAAATGTGTTACTAGGTACCAATACTAAGGATGTTGTTGATAGTTTCAAATAAATTGAGCATTGCGTAGAAAGTTAAAAATGACAAAATAATCATATTTTCGTGATATTCTAATAAAGATAAATTTGAATATTTGGTGTTTCGTGACTTAATGCAAGCCACTTCTTCAGAGTAAGCAAATAAATAACCGAATTAATTTAATATAATTTTAAATAGTATATAAGAACAAAGCATTCACCTACAACTTCTGTAAGTGCTACAAGTCGAAAGGATTTGTCTGAACCCAATTGCCAGAAACTAAAAACTGAGTCAGGAGTGAAAGTGAACTATAAATCCTGATATTTCTATCCTTATCTCATTAAGTGAAAGTATTATTGTTAAGGAAACTGGTTAACTAAAAGAAATACGTTACTATCATCACATCTTATTACAATTGACTATTAGAATTATTAATGATTATTATGACCACAGTACTTCCCGTATATAGGAAGGCTTTGTTCTTATGTATTATGATTTAAAGCAGCAAAAAAGTATTCGAAAACATGGAATTGCGAATCTAAAATGAAAAAAATTACCTGATTCTCCTTCTCCACAGACCTTTTATCTTCAGAGTTATTTGAAGCAGAAGACGATCCTCTTCACAAAACAGGAACAACAACGAAAATATTATGTTAAAATATAATGCAAAAATGAATATGCCAGCATATGCTGCCTATCAATACTACCGACAACGATAATAATAATAATAATAATAATAAAAATAATAATAATAATAATAAAAATAATAATAATAATAATAATAAATTGTTAGTCAGTCATCTAAAACGTAGGACCAGGCACATATATGCATAACTCTAAGTTGCCACACCTCATTAATACAACAAGATGAACACAAAATTAATACAAGTAGTCACTTCAATGATAGTAGTGTATAAAAGAAAGATTGCGTATAAGGATATAATACAGGAAGAAAGAATTAATTCGTAGAAAGAAAGGTATAAAGCAGTTTCTATCGCACGGTTTAAGGAAGGACAAATTTTATACACCTTTGCCATTGTGATCGATTTTGAGCCATATTAGCCAGGGTCTCCATCCATTGGTTACGATAGACACGCGGACCTCAACCAAATAGTCTGCATCCACCAACATGGCTGAGACAAGAAGTTAGTGACTTTATAGACTGATTCCACATTTTGGTTTGCCTGCTCCTAACTTCCTTTCAACCGTCTCCAACACTAATCAGCAATATGCGTCGCGGTAATCGGTTGTTAGGTATGTGCAATACCTAACCCAACCATCTCAGTTGATGAAGATTCACAACCTCGTCCACTGATTTAGCATCATTTCTTAATACCTTGAGTCTAGCCTCACTATTACGTACCCGATGACCCAAGCAGATGCAAGCAATATTTCTGAGACATCTGTGATCAAATACTAGTAGCTTACGAGTATCTTTTACTCTTAATGGCCACGATTCGCAGCCGTAAAGTAGAACAGTTCGAACTGTCACGCACTGTACTCGTCTTTTCACTGATAGACGGATATGTTGGCAAAAGCTACACCAGCATTTTGGATTCGTGCAGAGATTTCGTCAAACGTCAATCCATTAGGTCTGATCGGACTCCAAGATAATACAAGTGAAGCTGTTGACGCGTTCGACCACTTCACTCCCTATCCTTAGTTCAGGTGTTGACGCAGGCCAGTCCTGAAGCAACAATTTGCACTTAGAGGGAGAGAAACGCATCCCAAACATTCTGGCATCGTTGCTCAGTGCTACCAAAAGACTCTGCATTTTATCAGTGTCTTCACCAAACAGGACTATGTCATCAGTGTATTTTAAGTTGGTAAGTGTACTCCCTGGTAGGAGATCAATTCCTAAAGTTTCAGTCGACGAGAGCATTGAAGTTGAACAAAAGTGGAGATAGTCGATAGCCTACCGGACAACAATTGAGGTTGTAAAATCAGTCCCACGTTGTAGCTGACTGATTTCTACCGCCGACTGGTTTTGCTATAAACGTAACTTTCATCAATGTTGCAGAGGTGTGTTTTAGAAACAGATGACCCTTGGAAAACAGCATATACAATGTGTATTATTCCTACCGGTCGATATAAGTAGAAAAAGCAAGAAAGATTACTGCAGAGTATGTCGTAGTTAGGAAAATGAAAGTAAATTCACCATTCGCTTCAGCAGTTGTGGCAAATTTTATTGCAACTCAAGTGAATATATAAATATACAGGTACGCGTTACTGTCAACAATCACTAATTGATATAATAAATAAAATCATGTCTACAGAATGGCATGTTTATGGATAATTACCTGTTGATTGATTCAAAGCACAAATCACAAACACGCACTTCCTTCTCAATGCCGAATTCAGGCAGAATGGCGCGCGATGAGGTACACTCACCACAAAACACTTGACCACACTTACGACAGTGATGCTGGAGAAAATCAAGGTAAAGACATATTTGAAAAAGATTACTAAGATGAAAATAGAACATAAAAAAGTATACAAGGGGACATATTAACTAAAATTACCATGAGGAATCTACAAGGAAAATGGATTTGTCAGATTTGAGAGTATCCAGCTTCCCGAATGGAAGTAGACTGATTGGCGTTTAAACTCGAGATCTAGTAGATGCATGTTTAACAACTTAACAATTAAGCTACCGGTAAAGTATCGAGTTTATTAAATTAACTACTGTAAAAAGATGACTCTAAACTGACAACTACAACTAACATTTCTTGGGAGAGGAACTTATCCCATGATAAATCTGTTTGGAGGATTGCTGCTCATACCAAACCCGAATAAAGAACGAGGGTTGAGCATGGAGTAAGCAACCTCACCCCGTAGAAAACAACCTTGCGGAAAAAACGACAACCATAAAAAACGATTTAAAACATTTAAACTCCCTCCCCAGGTATTGAAGGATATTTATTTAAAAAGGTCATAACACGTGTTGAAAGTCAAGATTCCCCGGAAATAGGAGAACCAGAGTAACAATTAATATAGATACACACAATATTTGAACAATGTGGGAGGACCACTCAAAAAACTGTGGGAACGAGAGAATACAAACTGGCGGTGCTTAGAATAAGTTATACCAATCGAACTCAAGGTAAACAGAGAGAATTGGCTTCGGGAGAGCTTGTGTTGTGTTCTGGTTATGCAGACAAGATGTTGCAATGATGCTCTCCAAGGAAGCGCAGAAAGCGCTTATAGGATGAGAAACTTAAGGATATATAACTATGTCGTTTGCGTATTTCAATTCGATGAATGAATCACCTAGTAAGAGACTTATCTTTGGAAAGTCAAACGAACAAAGAGTTATCCCTAAAAGTATCCTTATGATAAATGTACATAAAAATGACGAGTTTGGTTTTCCCTGACTAACACCGCTTGATATAACCAGTTCAGAAAAGAGTTGGCTATAGGCAGTGACTCGACCACAGTGGCAAAGCAGCAAGACCAGACAACATCCCAGCGGAGGCACTGAAAGCAGACATAGCAGTAACTGCAAACATGCTCCACATTCTCTTCAGCAAGATTTGGGATGAAGAACAAGCACCAACAGACTAAAAAGAAGGACACTTGATCAAGGTACCAAGGAAAGGCGATCTTAGTGAGTGTGAGAACTACAGAGGCATCACACTTCTCTCAATACCAGGAATAGTCTTCAACAGGGTGTTGTTAAACAGAACAACACACTCCGTAGACGCCCAACTTCGAAACCAACAGGCAGGATTCTGTAAGGATCAATCGTGTACCAACCAAATCGCAACACTACGGATCTTTGTGGAACAACCAATCAAATGGAATACATGACTCTACATCAACTTCAGTGACTACAGGAAAGCATTTGATAGCGTAGGCAGGACAACACAATGGAGGCTTCTTCGACACTACGGCGTGCCTCAGAAGATAGTCAATATCATACGAATTCCTATGATGGGTTAAACTGCAAAATCGTGCATGGAGGACAACTCACAGACTCGTTCAAAGTAAAGGCCGGTGTCAGACAAGGTTGCTTACTCTTGCCATTTCTCTTTCTCCTGGTGATCGACTGGATTATGAAGACGTCAACATCTGGGGGAAAACACGGGATACAGTGGACATCTGAGATGCAGCTGGACGATTTAGACTTTGCAGATGATCTGGCTCTTCTACTGCACACGCAACAACAAGTGCAGGAGACTATCAGTGTAGCAGCAGCCTCAGCAACAGTAGGTCTCCACATACACAAAAGGAAAAACAAGATTCTCCGATACAACACAACACGCACCAATCAAATCACACATGACGGAGAAACTTTGAATGATGCAGATGTGAAGGAGCGTATCGGCAAAGCAAGAGTAGCATATCTACAATTGAACAACATTTGGAAGTCACAAAAATTGTCAACCAACACTAAGGTCAGAATTTTCAACACAAATGTCGAAACAGTTCTACTGTATGGGGCGGAAATCCAGAGAACTACGAAAGCCATCAACCGGAAGATACAAGTGTTTATTAACAGTTGTCTACGCAAAATACTTTGGATCCGTTGGCCAGACACTATCAGCAACAACTTACTGAGGGAAGTATTTATTTATTTTAACACATAGGTATTGGTACAAGGAGGGACCAAATACATATGCGCCACACGAATCTCAATTAATATGTGTGAGGGCTGTGATACTGCTCGGGTGCCCAAACCGAAGCAGGTGATTTTCTTAGGGGCCACACCCCGAGCCTTCGACCTGAATGTCTGACCCACAAGGCAGTGGAGAGCATCGTGAGATGCAGTCCCATGGTAGCCGGTGACCAACGATTGGTTCATACGCCATTTGTTCCTTCAGGATACTGGAGCCCATGTGCACCATTGGTTTGGAATCCGATTAAAGCGCCGGACATTCACTCTTCGTCCTCTCATTTTCGTAAACAACACCCGTGGTGCGAGAAGGCAGTGAGTAGGACTTCCCTGGTAGGAGCCATATACGCGTGGCCATGTGAGAGCATTTAGAGAAGGAGAGCGGACTCTCCCCACTCTCGGCCGTACCAGGGCATTTGGGGGCGAGGGAGGGAAGAAACCAGGTCCCAGCGGAGGAAGGAATCAGGAAGAAGCGCTAGAAGTGAATAGGACAAACATTAAGGAAGGCACCCAACTGCGTCACAAGGCAAGCCCTCGCTTAGGAACCTCAAGGCCAAAAGAGAAGAGGAAGACCAAAGAACACATTATGCCGCAAAATGGAGACAGACAAGAGGAGAATGAACGAAAATCGGGTAGAAATAGGAAGGAAGGTCCAGGACAGAGTTGGTTGGAGAATGCTGGTCGGCGACCTATGCTCCATGGAGGTAACGGGTGTAAGTAAGAATATATAGTGCATCTCTAATATTCGTGTTACGACTGCACCACCCGAATTCGCTCATCTCCAACTTGAATCTGACATAATGAAATAAGCTTTTCACGTTGCGTTCACTGTAACCATTACAGTAGGATTGTTCGTTGGCTTTTGTCATCCCATACTACTCCATACCATTGGCAACTTGGAAAATGCTGAAATATGATCTATTAGTATTAGCCAGTTTGGATGGTTTGTAAGATGGAATACACCAAATCCGATGTTTAAAACTCAGTTTAATAACTATCTTTACTGTATCACAAAAAATATTTTTCGATTAACAGAATAGAGTTGTGCAGATTGTTGGATCTAATCGAGATTATGAACCAATTAATGTTAGACCACCATTTAAAATCTGAAAGCGTTGGGCGGCCGTTTAGTACTAGCATGGGACTCTTCAGTAATGAGCATCCGCGATCCAGGTTTTCAAAGTTGGTTTAACATTGATCGGCTCATGGTCTTGATGAAACTCAACAAAATTCACAACCTTATAGTGCTAACAATCATTTACTTGTTAGTGACTATATTTGAGAAGTGATTCTTAGAGTTCAGTGAGATGTGATCAGTGGAGTTTAGCCGTAGGAAGAAAGACCCAGGACAGAGTGGGTTGGAGAATGCTGGTCGGAGACCTATGGTCCATGGGGGTAACGGGTGTAAGTAAGTGCTTTTGATGACATTGGTTCTATTGCGCACGTTTGCACATTTGTATCCAACAGCTTACAGTTTCTCACACTTCTTTTGGTGAGGACACGCAGAAAATCTCTCGGAAAAATCCCGAAAATGCTATGAAAGACTGTGGGAAACATTCCATACAATCAGCATTTACTAGTAAACAAGCACTTCCAGTTACGCATGACCTTTATACCAACCGATCAGACAAGTTAATGAAGACTAGTCTTACTGTGACAACACAAATATAAAACTTTAAGTTTTCAGTGAAAAATAGAATAAACCCCTACTTTACGCCTGAATGTAGTAAATGCGGACTTGCATCGATGGCATGCATTTCCTTCCTTCCAACTTGGAGCACAAACTACACTGAACATAGCAGCACTCTCTGAGAATTCTGGAAAAATGTAACCAGCATTTCTAAGGTTCTCATAAGCATCTATCACAGCAACGTAGCCAGGTTTATCACGAAAAACATACGCCCAGTTTTGAAGACACTCTAGAAGCTTTGCGCGGACGTCTGGGGATGTCTAAAAAGCGTCAAAGTCTGTCAAATAACATACATCAACCATCCCAACAAGCTGCTGCATAAAGTCAGTGCTGCAAACTTCTTCATGAACAGGTGTACCACAGTTCTTCATTAATGACTCCAGCACCTACAGTGTAAGTTTATGAGAAAGAGATTACATCAAATGAGTGTAGAACGACGTTTGGGTTGTCACACTGAAGACGTTTCTTTAAACACTGAACCGCATATTTAGGCCTTCATTAGTTTGTAATGATGTGAAGTATTAACCTACGAAATCTCTTGACTACGCACGTTATCGCAAACTGCAATGGTACTCTCAATGTCTGATTCAATCAGCATTTCACTGGTCGCCTTCTCTATGAAGTTAATAATTTTTATTTTATTAACAGTATCACTTACCAATCAGCTTGTCGAACTTGGAACGTTTGAAGAAATCCATACTTAGCTATTTCCGGAAGTTACTGAGCAACGCCTACTTTAAATTTAGCTCTTTTATTACCCGAGATCTTTAATGGGTTCAAGTGGTCGTGGATGGAATAGAAGAAGCTTTCGTTTAACGGGCTTCTTTGTCTGGCAGCAGTGGATCACCGATACCTCCGGGCAGGAACCTATGTATACTAACGATAATAGAGGAAAGAATCAATTGGTAAATCAGTCACAGTTTCAGTTTGGGAAGGACCTGTGTTAGTCCTGGTAACGATGGTCTATAAGTTGATCAAACTTTCTTTCGAAAGAGTCAACGGATAGAACCTCAACTACGCGCTGAAGTAATAAATTCCAATCGTTAATGATTCGATGGGAAAGTCGATAGTCAGCTGACAAGTAGTTTGCTCTGGGCTTGTGAACTTTTTTTGGAGTGCCCTCGTAAATTCTCTGTTTTGGAAGGCAAGAAAAATGAGGGCATATCAAGTGCAAATTTACCACTAAGCACTTTGAAAACTGTGATCAAGTCACCTCTAGTTCTTCGATATGACAATGGGAATAGGTTTAGCTTAGCCAGTCGAGCATCATACGGAAGCTTCGCTATTCCAGGGATCAGCTTGGTTGCTGTTCTCTGAACCTTTTCCAAAAGTTCACTGTCTTTTTTTAAGCAGTTGCTATCCGCTTGTATGCAGTACTCACGTGTAGGATGTACGAACATTGTATATAAAGTCGAAAACTTTTTAGCGTAGACATGACTAACAGCCCTACGTATTAACCATAAAGTTCTAAAACCTTTCGCGGCTATTACACGGCAGTGTGCAGTAGTCTATAAGTCTTAGCTAACGATGACTCCTAAATCATCATGTTCCTGAACATTAGGTAGCTCAGTGTCATTCATCGTGTATGTATCTGTACCTTGATGACCAATATGCACCACAACATACTTGGAAGTATTTATCGGCAACTGCCAAGTTTGAGACCATTCAGAGAACTTCTTCAGGTCACCTTGGAGTTCTAAACTATCACACTTACTTCGTATCGCTCTCCATATCTCGACATTGTTAGCATATAGCAATACTGATGATGATATTAGACGAGGAAGGTCATTTACATATAAGAGGAATAACACTAGCCCCAAAACTGTACCCTGAAGTACTCCACTAAGCACAGTTTCCCAGCTAGATAACTTTGAGTTCACCAGTACTCTTTGTCGGCGCGCAACCAGGAAGTCTTTTATCCACACCAATAGATTGCCTTTGATTCCGACATTTTTTAGCTTATATAACAGCCGGTTGTGCGGAACTTTGCCAAAAGCTTGGCTGAAATCAATTTAGGCTAAGTCTACAGGTAACTTTTGGTCCTTACTATGGCGTTCTTTCAGTCTTTTGGTAAACGATCTTGCGTTACGGATAGATTAAAGCATATGCTTAAAGGGTTCGCGCCGAAGTTAGATAATCCTTCTAGTAACCTAAGATGCCGTTGATCGGGTCCCGTGGATTCGCCTTTGTCAAGCCTATTTACCACGCCAAAGACATCGAGTTCTTCAATTGTCATGCTATCCAGTGTGTGGGGGATTTGTATGGACTGACGGAAAGGGGGTTTTTACGGTATAAACATTGATAAAAGAGTTTGAGAACACTTGAGCCTTACCAAAGTCGTCCTCCACTAATGATGGAGCAGTACTGTCTTCCTATAATGCTGGAATATTTCCTCTTCTCTTTATCCTTTGGTTTATATGGGAATACAAGCATTTAGAACCTTCTATAGATCCCTTAACAACTTTTTTCCGTACAACTTTCTAGACTTACGGAGGGTCGAGGCGCAGGTATTCCGAGCTTTTCGATACTGAGATTTCGTCTCATCAGTACCCAGTAACCTAAATCTATCCCAAATTTTCTTCCCTTACAAAGAAGGGTGCGGACCTCTTCAATGAATCATGGTGGAGAGTTTCTCGGCTTTCTTGGTATAGTCCAAGGGATATGATGTGCGGTAACGTTTAAGTATAAATTTCGAACTGCATCCCAAGCCGCTTCAATTGAGGACTCTGGGTCTATTGTCCGATCTACTAACGATGCCCAGTGCATGATATTGGTAATGTTTGCTTTCCAGACGTTAGATCTCGATTGAGCTGACGCGTGCTCATGATTGACAGTTATATGGAAGCCAAAGGTCAAAACTGCGTGATCACCTTTACTTAGGGGTGTCATGTAATGGAGGTTCGCAACGTCATTCTCACAGTGAGTCAATATAAGATCTAGTATGGATGATTCAACATTCGGGTCGTGCCTAGTTGCTTTTTTCACATGTTGCACTAGAGCACATAACTCCGCCTGGAGTCCCTTTCCGGAGCTACTGCCGGTCCCAAGCCCGGATAAAGGAGGAGGGTTGGGCACGGGGTTAGCGACCCCATCCCGTAGAAAACTAACTCGCTAAAAAAATGCTAACCAGAAAAAATTATTCAAACCATTTAAACTCTGCCCTGGGAGTCAGGAGGTCTTCGTTTAGAAGAATTATGACGCCTCATGATGAAAGCCGAGTTTCTTCGGAAGTCACGAGGCCGATGCCCCTTCTGACAACCAGAGCAACCATTTATTTAGGTACATGGAATGCTCGCACAATGTGGGAGACTGAAGGAGTTTTCCGAATTGCTGCAGAAATGAGGAGATACAATTTAGAGGTGCTTGGGATCAGTGAAACACATTGGACGCAAGTTGGACAACAACGACTAGCTTCAGGGGAGCTGCTGTTATACTCCGGACATGAACAAGAAAATGCTCCACATACACAAGGAGTTGCATTGATGCTGTCCAAACAAGCACAAAATGCACTTATAGGATGGGAATCTCATGGACCAAGGATCATCAAAGCCTCCTTCAAAACAAAGAAAGAGGGCATTACAATGAACGTCATCCAATGCTACGCGCCTACCAACGACTACAATGAAGACGCTAAAGATCAATTCTACGATAGGCTGCAGTCAATCGTCGAGAAGTGCCCAACTAAAGACCTGACTATTCTGATGGGAGACCTAAATGCCAAGGTTGGAATTGACAACACCGGATATGAAGAGATCATGGGACGACACGGACTCGGAGAAAGGAACGAAAATGGTGAGAGATTTGCAAATCTATGTGCCTTCAATAAACTGGTCATAGGCGGGACTATATTCCCACATAAATGCATACACAAAACCACATTGACTTCACCGGATCACACCACACAGAACCAAATCGACCATATCTGCATCAACAAAAAGTTCAGGAGGACGATGGAGGATGTGAGAATAAAGAGAGGAGCTGATATAGCATCAGATCATCACTTGCTGGTCGCCAAGATGAAATTGAAACTCAAGAGGCACTGGACAACGGGGAGGACAATATCACAAAAATTTTATACGGCTCTTCTTCGGGATAATGACAAACTCAATAAATTCAGGATAACCCTCAGCAATAAGTTCCAAGCCTTTCATGATCTACTCAATGGAGAAGAAACTACTATGGAGAGCAACTGGAAAGAGATAAAAGAGGCAATCACTTCAACATGTCATGAGGTTCTGGGCCAAAAGAAGCACCATCACAAGGATTGGATCACTGTCGATACACCGGATAAGATTCAAGAAAGGAGGAACAAGAAAGCAGCAATCAATACCAGTCGAACAAAAGCAGAAAAAGCCAAGGCACAGGCTGAATACATAGAAGTAAACAAGCAAGTGAAAAGGAGCATCAGAACTGACAAACGTAAATATGTGGAAGATTTAGCATTGACGGCGGAAAAGGCTGCGAGAGAAGGAAACATGAGACAACTGTATGAAACAACAAAGAAACTCTCTGGAAATCACCGTAAACCAGAACGACCAGTGAAAAGCAAGGAAGGCAAGATAATCACCAACATTGAAGAACAACGAAACAGGTGGGTAGAACACTTCAAAGAACTCTTGAATCGACCAGCCCCACTGAACCCACCCAACATCGAAGCAGCACTCACGGACCTCCCAATTGATGTTGGCGCACCGACAATTGAAGAAATCAGCATGGCTATCAGACAAATCAAGAGTGGCAAAGCAGCAGGACTAGACAGCATTCCAGCAGAGGCACTGAAAGCAGACGTAGTGGCAACTGCAAGGATACTCCACACTCTCTTCAGGAAGATCTGGGATGGGGAACAGGTACCAAAAGACTGGAAAGAAGGACTTCTAGTCAAAATACCAAAGAAAGGCGATCTCAGCAACTGTGACAACTACAGGGGAATCACTCTTCTTTCAATACCAGGAAAAGTCTTCAACAAGGTATTGTTAAACAGGATGAAGGACTCCGTAGACGCCCAACTTTGCGACCAACAGGCAGGATTCCGTAAAGATAGATCGTGCACAGACCAAATCGCAACTCTACGGATCATTGTGGAACAATCAATTGAATGGAATTCATCACTCTATATCAACTTCATCGACTACGAAAAAGCATTTGATAGCGTGGACAGAACAACCCTATGGATGGAACTAGAAAAGAAGGCCCAGGACAGAGTGGGTTGGAGAATGCTGGTCGGCGGCCTATGCTCCATTGGGAGTAACAGGCGTCAGTAAGTAAGTAAGTAAGTAAGTACTAGGGCACATGTGATAACTGCATCAACTAGTTCCTGCTCGAAGGAATTATCTGACGATTCAGTTCGCAGATTTTCCCAGTCTACCATAGGTGCATTAAAGTCCCCTAAGATTAGACATAAACCGCTTTGTGACCAACTTTTAAGCCAGTTTAGCAGGACAACATTTACCTCACAGCTTGGACTTTGATAGACCAAACCAATCAGCAGCTCTTGCCCCTTGAATTTCAAGCGGCAACTAACTAATTCACGCGTCCTACTCTCATGGGATACACTGTCGGTGATGGCAAATGGGATAGCATTCCTTATTTATGGAGCCACACCCCCAACTTTACGCTTTTGTATTCTGTCGGCCCTTACTAACGTACAATCCTCGAAGTCAAGTTCCATACTATCTGTCGACTGTGTCAGCCAGGTTTCTGTGACTGCGATTATGTCATAGTAAGATATTGCTCTTGGTCCTTAGGAATAGGCAAAGTTGCCTCTTAAAGGAAGTGCTTGGACTAGCTCAGCCGGCAGCGAATTCCAGCATTTGACTACTTCTAAGGAGTAGAAGTTGTGTCTACAATCC